TCCCTTGACTGATCAATTCTGATATATTACATAAATATATATATATATACTGTGTATATATATATACGTGTATAGTTAACTAATTAGCTATAATTGTAAATATGTATATTATGTGTGTGTGTGTGTCTTTGTATGGCTGCCACGGACAAGAGCACAACACACATTGCCTTGCCATGGCACGAGGCGAAAGGCTCGTCAGATACACCATCCCAAAGCAAGTCACCAGCAAGCGCCCAATCGCCTTCTTGTGGCTCGAGCCTCCAGCACACCCGCAAGCATCGGATAACTCTATCTCTTGCAAAAAGATCTTCTTTGCATTGACTTTGGAAGGGTGACGCGCGACCAAATGTGAGGCTAGATAGTGTCTTGATTGCCACTCTCGCGCGTCCGACTTTCAGACTGAAAGCCCCTTGAAGCCTAGTCGTCTCCACCTTGAGCTCCCACTTAGGATCACCTGGGATGATTGGGGAAGGGCCTTTCAGCAGAAAAGCTGATGTAACAGGACAACAGGAAGTTTGCCACATATATCCAGAGTCGGCTAGTGTTAGGGTTAAAGCATGTTAAAGCAAAGCTTTGTCGGCTTGACTATCTCTGATTAAAGACTCAAGATTCAAGCCCTGGTGTTTGCAACAAAAACTGGAGCAAATGACAGGAGTGTTCAGCGATGCCCAAAGCCCAAAGAGGTCAAAGTCCAGATCTTTTCGATTAAGATGTGGCTCCTCTCCTTAGAGTGGGCCTCTCATATCAAATCTGTCTGGAGTAGCCTAATGCACTTGGTTGCAAAACTCGTATTATCAGCGACCGTGAGACTCCCGAGCATTAACCCTTCCCACATGCGTAGACACCCTCAGCTCCCAAGTCTGCCAAAGAGTGCACACCCATTGCAATGGCCAGTGTAAAGTGTAAGTGTAAAGTGTAATTATTGACTTGATGGGCCATGGGCAATGTTTTGCAAGGGTTCCTTTGTACGCAGGCGCCCTGGTGCAAATCCTTTTGGCAACTCATATGCAAGGATCTGAAGAATCAGAAAGGGATGAGTGCACATATTCGAGGCCCTACACATGGGCAGCCGGGCCAATGGATCACTACAAAGACGAAATCATGTCAGGTCAGAGCTGTCGTCATTTGGCGTTGAGCTAAAGACTGTGGCGCAGTGTATCTCATTTCTGGATGAGAAGAAAAAAAGCAGGCAAAATCGACTATGGACACTGACACGATGGACTGGCTCTTGAGCGGAAACCGGCCTTTAGCCTTAGCTGCATCCACCAAGGCCTTCGTCCCGTTGAGGTCACAACGCTCCGGCCTTGGAAACGTCTTAGGAAATTGGAAGAATGCCACGGCGCTCTTAGTTGTACGGCCAAAGGACGGACCAAACCGGCATGGTGGTCAGTCAGCCCACTCGCCTTGTGAAGGCGCTGAGGCTCGGGCTCTTCGTTATCGAGGCCTCCCCAGCTAATTGGTGGGAACTGAAGGCCTATGAGGGACCTACAGCAGTTGGATGTGCTCAGGTGATATTATCTCAGCACATCAAAATGTGACACCTTCAACCTCCCACTGCAAAAAGCAATGAGGCTCTGAAACTATGTTCCTTTGCTTCGGACAACTCCTCAATCTCAGCATCCAAAGCCAAAGAACCAGGAAAAATGATGTCGTCATTGTCTGTTCAATACTGTACATATATATGTATATATGTGTGCGTTGCTCTGCCACTTCGTCTATTTCGTTCCGGGTCCCGCACCGACGCCCGGCCGAAGGATGTCGAAGCCAAAGCGAGCTCCAGCCAGATCGACCACCTATAGGAAGATTGACTAGTGAATCAGTGTCCTTCCTCACTGCTCTCCTATCCCTATAGCTGAACGCAACAGTGCCAAAATGTGCAAAGGAACAAGAAGCTACTAGGAGCAAAGGAGGAGCAAGGACGCTACTAGGGGCTCCTGGCCTTACTACTGGGAACAAAGGACGCTACTAGGCGCAAAGGAATGACGTGCTCAGACCCGCAATGTCAGCTGCTATTTTGTGGCGGGCCGGGATGGCCATACAAGTTCAACTTATCAGCTGCTATATGCTGCTTTTTTGGTAACGTTTACATCGTTTACCGTCAGTCAATCACAAAAATCGCTGTGGTAGGTGGTAAGTCTGCTGCAGCTCAAGCACTGCGATTAGGGATCTGACCACTGAAGCATCCTGCAGCTGCATCTCCAAGGCCTATGGCAAACATCGCGGGCATGCGAATGCGGTGCATTTTTATGAAAGGAGCCTCACAGGCAAAACTCACATGCACTTCCACACAGAATAGACGCCTACAGTAGGTACAAGTAACATGTTTTGTTGAAAGAAATGTGTCACCGCGTGGACCACCTCATGCGCAATTCGCGAGTTTCAGGGCTGCTCCTTCTCATGTCCACCCTCAATAAACGCATCTGGGATGACAGTCATCTGGTACCTGGAGCTTTTGTAAGAGAACGCAAGGTGAATCCTCCACTCTCGACGACATCCCCCTGCACGCTGACATGAACCCTGAAAACGATCTCCCGGAAGACTTTTCCCCCCCCCCCTCTCTCTCTCTCTCTCTCAGTCTGTCTGTCTGTCTCTTTCTTTCTGTCTTTCTTTGTTTCTTTCTTTCTTTTTTCATCTGTTTTCGAGCTGTGTCACAGGGACACTCTCACCAACCCAGGGGTTTTCAGGGTCCAATGTTAACAAACCTGCCAGGGGGTATAAGGCAAAAAACAAATACGTACTGTAAGCCCTGTAAAAACCAACATGTTCTGCCAAGTGTGGCCGGTCATCATGGTTCGGGGCAACCAGTGCCAACTTGCATGCAATGTGGGTATCGTCCTGAAGAGCCTGGAAAAGTCGATTGTCATGACCTATGCTCAGCATAGCGAACTCTAGACATTGGCATCTTTCGGCGGCGCACTTGGTGGAGCTACGATTCTGATATTGCACCTCGTACATTCGACCTGAGGAAGTGGGCCCGCCACCTAAAGACCCGACATTCCCAGCCCACTGGCCATGTTGTCCCTTCTGGGCTGTCGCCAACAAAAATGAATTTGCAAATAGATGCAAGTGAATAGCACAGGCAAGAACAATGATGGTTTGATCATTTTGATCACTGCCTCAGTGTAAGGCCCTCGTCTCGCACTCCAAGGTAAAGGGACCTATACAACAGCCCTCCCCGTTTAAGAGCATGCGACCCCAAAAAAACACTAGTGACTCGCAACGAAGCACTAGTCACTAGTCCGTGACTTGCTAAACTCGCCTCTTGCTATCTGACTTCAACACAGCAGTTCGTGCCAACGGACTTAAAACACACAAATCAAGCCCCGAGCATGCCATTCCGAAGCATATCCAAGGTAGCCTAGGCAGCCAAACGGTATAGAGTTCCCCCAATAATGTTGCATCAGGCCCACGGCGGGTGCGGCATCAGATGTCCACCCCTGCTAAATATGTTGTAAGGCAAAGTCCGGCCGCTAATGTGTCACTCATGGGTGCAGCATGTCTGTAGGATTCTAAGGGGAAAGGGTTTCCAATGGACACGTCCAGAGGCGCAACCAGTGGAAAAGAATGTTCAAATTCCGCTGTCTGTTTAGGCAACCCCGCCCTCCGACCAAGCTCGCCAGTGGAGCCTGCAACAAAGACCTGCCCAGAACAAATCTCCCTGAATTCGGGTCGGGGGCCAAGGATGGCCAACGCCTATTTGTTTTTTGTTTCCTGTTAATATCTTTATGATCTTTATGCATTTATGTATAGCATGAACATGTATGAAATCTGTGCTTGCAAGCTTGTACACGTTTGGCAATGCTGGGGCATAGGTTCTTCCCACAGCCCCATGCGCCTTTGGCTTGTCTAGAAAGCACGGCACCTGATCGCAAAGTTGCAAACCTCAAGTCAGCTTCAGTCCATGCTGCAGCAAGAAAGGTGACGAAAAACACACATCACGCAGCTGGTCATGCAGAGGTAAGCCGCTAAGCCCCATACTTTCTGATTTCGTTAGCCTTCCATCTGGCCTTCGTGCAGAGGCAACAATCACCAGGTGTGGGACATCGAAAGGGAGAACACCACCATCCCAGGGTCTTTTTGTGCCGGGGCATCTATACAGTCTACAGTATATGCTTTTCCATAGTGCAAGTCACAAGTGCATACGTTACCCCACCGCAAAGCTAATTCAAACAGGTACGCTGGGAAAGCTTGTGTCTGTCGTTCTAGGCAGGACTGTCCGAGGCACCCTGCAAAACTGCTCGGCCATACCTGCAACAGGGCTCATTCTCGCGTGTGAACTTGGGATTCACTCTGGCAACTCACATGAGAGACGCTTGTCCTGAAGAGGATTCAAACCTCTGCAACAGTAAGAGTAAAAGCAGGAACTTGAGGCCCTCGCTCGTCGAGTCGTTCGGCAAATGCCTAGGCGAAGATAGGCGAAGGCATGGATGCTCTCCCTAAGTTTACATTCCAGTGGCCAAGCAAAGGATTCCGTGTAGGTGCGCATAAACCAATGCGTCGGAAGCACCTCCCTCTGTGGAAGGCTTTTCCTTAAGATGCAACCGATTTCCACGTGAGTTCACTTTTGCTGAACCTTGTTCTCAAGCATGGCGAGCTACTACCGCCTTGCCCTCCCCTCGGAGGGTCCAACGTGAAGTGGGTTCATCTCCGCTTAGCTGAATCGCTGCCACAAAAGCTCTTGATAGTTTAATACATGGTGATGCACGTCCATGCGTTTTCTGCAGCACATATTTTTGATCTCCTACTGCTGCAAATCTTGCCTGCATTCAACATGTATAGTACAGTATATACTCAGTAAATATACATAGTCATAAATTTCTACTCAACAGAAATGTAAAAAATGCTCGTCTTGGTTCAGGGTCTGGCGCAAGTTCTAGCAATAGTTTCGGAGATAACGCAAGAGGCGAGCGGTCCAGTATGTTCTCTGCACTTTGTACATTGAGGCCAGAGTCAGCTGGCTGACACACGATCAGTAGGTAAGCTTGATGTGTTCACCTTGGCCTTCTTGAGCATCCTGGGGAAAGGTCAAAATGACAAGGCAACTGCGTTGTCTTTGATTCATATTCCGCAGCACAAATAGACTCCAGGAAAACTGGCCTTCCATATCAGCTCCTTGACCTTCGCTGCAACAGGCCCTACCTGCAAAATGATCGGTGTTTGTTCGATTGAGAGGAAACACGTCTCAAACGAAAGCTGTCAGCTTGAAGGCAGCGAAGGGATGCGGCAAATTAATTTGATCAAATGTGTGCGCCAAAATGTCCCAAAGGTCAAACACATGGCTGACCCATCCCCATATGGCATGCCATGGAGTAAGCTGCCCTTGCAGAATTGGCATAGGGTGACGCCTTGCCATCTCCAATGGAGCGTCCGTCCAGTCTGGTCACAGGGAAAACACCAAGGTCACCACCGAACATCATCACCTGGGCCAGGGTGAAAGGTCCAAGTTCAAGCCCAACGTTTTTGGAGGATCGGCTCTACGCCTACACACATCACAGTGTGGGCCGAACAGCCTACGTACAGCAGGATCTGCAGTGAAATGAGGCTTCTCTGGCCACTGAGACCCTGCACCTCTGCAGCATCAAAAAGCTGGGCAGAGTGCAAGGTCTCTTGACGAACCTCTTTGACGGCCTCGCAAGGCCAAGCGATGTTGAAAAACTGGAAAACAGCTGCAATCCAGAATTTTCAAGAACGAATTATGTAGGAGGGTGAAGGAGGGTTGAGGGTCAGTTCACCTTCGTTTCTTGGAGGCCTTGCTCAATGGTGAATGGACATTTTTGAGCTGGAAGGAACTTGGTGCACAGACTGTGCCTGCAACTCCACACAATATTGTGTTCCTTTATTCTGAGGCTGCCGGGTCATCCCAAGAAACCTTCCAATGTGCGTCTCAACCTTCGAACAAAACCCAGCCTTACTCTCACCTAGGAGATGCTCCTTGATGAGTTGCATGGCCTTCGGAGGATGCCACGGTGCTGTGGCAAAGCCCTACCGAACGCACTCACCAGTATGATCAGTATGTAAGCATAAAAAAACAAGTACACTCTCGAAAGTACTCGCTCGAACACTGTCGAATGATCTGCGACGTTGTGCCTGGACGGTCGCGCCGCTCGCGCTGGCCCGACCTTACGCACGGTGGTTCCCGCAAGGATGCCATCAAACCTGAGGGATTGGTCGGATTGGTGATTCTGTGGTGTTCGACAAAGAGGAGCACCGGGCGTGCATCCGGCCAATAGTGGCCACTAGGTAGCTGCAATGAGAGGTACTACCTGATCCAGAGCCTCACCTTGGTGGTGTTAAGTTTTTGTGGCGTCTGGTCCATCACAAGGGCCCGTTAAGAGGTGGCACAGGTTGGCGTGCACAACCTTCGGCGCAGCAGGAGCAAGTTCGCACGAGTGGGCAATTCTAGCAATAGCCCCTAGCTGCGGAAGCAGTTACATTGAATAGTTTGCTAAACAAATCTCAACAAACATATGTCACAATAATGTTAATAGCAATTCATCATATTTGCTGTAAACACTCCGATGATGCCAAAGCCTGAGAGAAATGAAATACCATCAGGTGGAAATCGTGTTTTGGCCAACCAATGTATTGCTTCCAGGGTGCGGTGGGGTAATGAACGTTTTGTCCTGTCAAGCATTCGACAACGAAAGCCTTCATGCCGCGCAATTCCGGAACTTGCTTTGGAATACACATTGCAATCGCAGGAAATCTCCTTGGTGACAATGGCACAGTTGGCTACGCAGCCCTCTGCTACAGTGCCATCATTACCTCGGATCCGTAGTGTGCTCAAGGAGCACAAGGTCAGCAAAGTCATGCCAAGAGGCGGATGTTGATGCCAAAATTCCCACCTCGCTCCTGAGCTTCATTGAAACGACTGAAACGAAACAATACGATGTTGCTTGATCTCTGGTTCCACCTTGTTGCTTCGATGAAGATCATCACTACCGGACTACCGTTCAGTATTCAAACAAAAGGGAGAAGGCCCGCCTGAGCAGTCATCGCGAGCATGCAATTCAGCAGATAGTTGTTGCTCTTCAGGGTGGCCAAAAGAGCGGGCTTCATAGGTACCTTGGTCTTCAAGCACGGGGCTGCAAAACAGACTCAGCAGAATCGCAACAATAAAGATCTTCAGGAACGCCACGCAATGGGACAGTTCCGTCCTTCATTGGTCTTGTTACTTGTTCATGGAGCAAATTCAAGTATATAAGTTGTTCATGATAAGAGTTGCCACGAACCACTAATCACCAGTCGTGTGTCCACCACTTCTTTCCCTGTTCCCCGCCTCGCTTTCAGGCACAAGTGCCTCGCTAATGCCCTCAGCAGGATACAGTGCAAACACCACACTGACTAAACAAGGATCGGAGGTAGCATCTGTTGCATGCACTCAGCGCCGGTTCCCAACGTAGCCAAATATACGCATGATGTTTTGACTGCCCATCGTGTTGCCAGTGAGTGACTTGTGATTTGTTCCGGGCTGCCAAAAACCCAGGGCTGTTGCACTGTCATTAGCAAGCTGCCCACTTGCCGGCCAATACTTGCTCAGGTTGGCTTTGCAGGCTGGGTACGGATGCCAGCCTTCATGTTGTGTTGTCATGGAGTATGTGTTGCTTCAAAAAACTGCAATGTCCAATGTAATGTTCCCACCCCACTTATATAGATTCAAGAAAGGGTTGCCGCGTTTGAACAGGAACCGAGCATATGGGCATGGAATAGCTCCAGCAAGGAAAATGCCTTGAGCTGCGAGGATTTCCCGAAACACCGCTAAAGGCGGGTTGGCTGCCTGAAAGGACGCAAAGGTAGCTATACACAGCGCTGGTTGCTTTTCAGAAGCAACTTTGTCGAAGGTTGCATGCAAAACAGTGCTATGGTTCCGGCTGTTGCTTCAGAATCTTTCTCGCTTTTGAGCCTTGGAAATCCAAATGAAGTTGAGGCCATTTGCTTGTTTGCTATTCATGGATTCTCCTGGGTGTCTGAATCATTGATCTGGGTTTGTATGATGGCCAAGCCCCGGCAGGAATAAGGCGGTTAGTGCAGATTGGCCACACGGTCACGTAGAACGCAGGCTCACAACCTGGGCACGCGCTAGGTTACAAGTAGAAGTATCAAGCTGCCGATCTGGTGATGGGCATTGGAGCCGGCTAATGGCATTCTATTTGCCTTCTCACTCCCCAGTCTCTCCCTTCCTCTTTTTCGCTCTGTCTTTGGCCCCCTCCCACTCTAGCTCCCCCTTCCACTCTCACTTTCACTCTCACGCTCTTCCTCTCTCTCTCTCGCTCTCGCTTGCGGTCTCCCTCACCCCCCTCACCCCCCCCCACTCTCTCTCTCTCTCGCCCTCTCTCTCTCTCTCTCTCTCATCAATCATAAATACCTGATAAAGGAGGGGGCGAAAGCCAGCCTCTGTAAGAATACATCAATATGGTTATGGGGAATGAATCCGAGAGCGCGCTGGAGCCGCTGTCGGGCATGGGCAAATAGAAGGCAGAGGTGGGAAGTCTCGCGGTTTGGGCCGATTTGACAAGCTCCCATTCACAGTTGGGTGGGGTGGGGTGTCCCTTTTCTTTTTGTTCAAAGGCGTGTTCAAAAAAAAAGGCACCCCTAAGTATTTGAGGGGCGCTTGCCTGCTGTTTGTTTCTCATTTCTTGTAGGTGGACGCACAAACTCGGCGTGCTGCAAAGAGTGGGCCGATGAAAGTTTACTGCCAAGATCATGTGATTGCTTAACTTCGGGGAAAGATTACCGTTGTTATGGTGGGGAGTCGCCTTGCTCAACGGACCATCGCCTTGCCTGCTTGTCACGGACTGCATTCTGTTCCCTCTTCTGCCCTCAACCGATAACATCCTTTCTGGCGTTCCCTGCCACTCTTGTTAGCCACGAGAAAGTGATGATTGAGAGACGCACATCTCACGTTCCTGCTGCATATCCGACCTCTATATCATCCTGTCACGTTGTCCCCTTCCCTCTCCTATCCTCTAGAGGTAGCTCCCCACCTCTGTTCCTATCACATCCTCCGCCTATGCCTGTCCTCCACATGAACTCCCACCCCATATGGGGTGCCCTTTTGCGTCTGGTTAATGGTTAACAGGCCTCTTCACCATTTATACAAGGCACCCCCAAGCAACTCAAAGCTTGCCCACTGCACTCTGTCCTCAACGGGTCACATCGTTTCTGCTTGCAGCCCCTTCCACTCATATTATAGCCACAAGAAAACAGAGTGTTGGGAGACGCGCATCTCACTTTCCTGAAGGAGCTCCTACCACTTTTCACGTCCCGTTGTCCCGTTGTCCCCCCTTTCCTGTCCTCGACATGAACTCCTACCCCTGGTCGAAAGACTGTTTAAATGGCCTCCTGAGCCCCTCATGATGCTAATGATGCACTCTTCGGCCTAGCACCCCAAAAGCCATACATTTTCACTGCGTTTCGGACCGCCTCTTCTTTTCGCTCTCCACCACCAGGCTCTGGGTTCGCCCTACCCAAATTATACAGTACCCCTAAACAACCCCCCACACCCCCTAATGCTCACTTCGTTCGCCAATCGACAACTCGAGCCTAGCCTACCGGCTGGCTTTCGTAATATATATGTGTATATATATATTATATATATGTACATATCCACTCGCAAGTGTGCCGTGCCTGCTGAGGTGAATCCAAAGTTTCCAGGCCCAGCAGTGAGAAAGTATCGCACGCCTGCAACTGCAGCAAAACAATCAGGAAAACGGTAGGGTAAACTTGGAAAGTACCAACTCTAACATTGCATACAAATATGATATATTTATATAATATGCAGTAATTGTGTATATACTTAATTAACTATTATAACTATATATGTTCCTACACTTTCTACACGACATACAATATACATCGGTATTATGCATTATCATCATATTATGAAGAATTCAAGAGCACCGGCCTCCATTCTTTAGGCCGCTTGCGACACAAGTCTCGCAAACAATTTCCTCTGATGGCAAAAAAGATGTTTCAACGGGTGTGTGTGTGTGTGCTTTCCTGAATGATTTCTCCTCTGGCCTTCTTGTCGCTTTCTCTTGACTTTTTTGGCATTGCGGCTGTTCTTGCTGGTGTGGTCTGTCTATAGCTGCCCCCGCCACACGTGCACAGATCATGATGCCCAAAGACTTTACAATGAACACAGTCCCAAGCCAAGCTCATCGTCTACGGTCGCAAACGAGCGGCTGTTATTCTTCTCCGGTTCTCGTCCTGGCAAAGAGTTGAACTAACATGCGCTAATAACTCTTTCATCACTCTTTTAGAGGTTAGTGTCCGGCACACTTATGGCATTAGCCGCGTTTACCCAAGCATCATCAGGATTTATATAAACGGGAAGACATTCCAAGAACACGTGTAGTTTTAACTCATTCCCAAGCGACAAGTAACAATCAATTCACAGAATGGAGCTGTGTGCAAGGCAAACATTGTCTGCAACCACAATAATTAGCCCGGAAAAACGTTGAAAGACCAAGAGGGTCAGAGGGTAAACATGGCCAACCCAGGCAGCACCCTCTGAGTTTCTCCTCACTGTCGCCGAAGGGCAGCTTCAACTTTGCTAGCTTGGCAGAGGTGAAGAGACGATCCAAATGCAGTCCCAACCTGAGATCAGCCATTGGTTTTCACCGTTGCCCTCAGCAGAGTGGCATCGAATTCTCGAACTTGCCCTGTTGACCTCAAGCCTGCCTTGCCAAGAAGCAATGACTGTTAAACAAAAAGGGCCAACGTGTATATATATATATATACATCCGTTCTACAGGATGCCCGCCTATAAACGCAGCCGTTGGCGAGCGTACAGGTGTCAAAGACAGCATGCCCCCTGGCCAAGCACTTGACCCGAAGGAATGGATGCACAATGAGAGGAAGTTGAATTCAATTAGGAAACTTTGCCTATCACTATCACTATCACGGTCCGCTTTCGCTGGCCCAGTCCTGACAATAGCATGATCGTCCAGTGGCAGCACCTGGTATTGCTCACAAAGTGGCAAGAAGGATGATTGCCACAAGCAAATTTGCAACTGTGCACAAAGAGCCAGTTGAATGGCATGGACCCTAGAAGTGGACACAAAACAACAAAGAGAAATTGATAAATTGATATATAAGTAATTCCAGTGACCTCTCTCTGTCGAAGATGCTGGGGCAGGGGCCATTAGCTCTGGATCAGTGATAATGGCATCCACAAGGGATGAGTACATCGCCTTGATGAAGTGCCCTGGCCAAGATGATACCAAGATCCCGAACAAGAAGCAAGGATATGTTACAGACACGCTTTCTTGAAGGCGGCTGATGGGAGGATGTGCATTGCACTCATACATGTGTGTGCCCCTTCAATGAAGCCCATGTGCATCCTCTACCACGGGCCATATACAAGATCCATGCCTTGAGGGCAACGCTGCATGCGAGCGGCCTTCGACCTCTGGGCTAATCTACATCTGCATCATGCAAACCGCACACCTCCGCAACGCCCATTTATAGCGATTGAATCTCCCCCACAGCATGCTCCGTCACATTGTCCAACCTTTGATTGCTCACTCACGCAAAATATACCTGTATTTTTTCTCCTGCTGCACTTCAATCGTCGGTGGATCGACAGTAGCACACTTGCCGCACACCAAATTCTACAATTTTATATTATATATATACTATATATATACATAATTTATACAGTAAATGAATCATTGTCTAAAGCTACCTGAATTCAGCCTGAATTCGGTTCTGGCAACTGGCTTATGGTCCACTTCTTCCATGGGGTCAATCATGTACAGCACCTCGATGCATCTCGATGCCCTTCTTGCGCTAAGGGTGAAGACGACACCGCCGCGATGCTCTCTCCTGTGATGTAGTTTTGGCCATCCCTTCATGTGGTACACGCTCTCCTTCAGGCTGATCTGCTCATCGCCGGACTTGGAGGTGTCGTAGCGAAGGAATTCATTCACCTTCATCTGGTTGGTGGAATCTTCGTGCACCAAGCTTGAGGCACTTGCCAAACTGTTCATAGAACTGTTGGACTGCAGCGATCTCCAAGAACTCGGACGACTGTTCCTCCTTGAGGGAGCTCCAAAAATATATCGCTCATCATCATTGTGCTTGCTGACAACACGGACGGTAAAAGTCTGGCTCATTCTGGACTCGCAACAGGTCTTGTTTGTCCAAGGCATCCGAAGCATTGGAGATCAACTCTCGAAGGAAGAACTGTCATGATCTGTCAGCATTGAAGGCGAAGGTCTCTGCCATTGCTGAGAGCTGCGAATTAGCGACTCAAAACTTGGAGATGAAAATGGGGCTCTTGAGACAAATCAAACTGTGTACATATCATGTGTCTATACACACGTAAGAACAACAACTTATAACACGTCACCTGTTGTCCCCAAACCACTACTGGTTAGAGCCATAAGCCCCGATGCAGGCATCCCGGCTTCTCCAAGAAGGCATCCCGATCAAGCACAGCCAACTTCCTCTTCACACCTGCGAATCCACTGCACATAATTGGCCACGCTGCGATGAGGGACATTCAAACTACCAGTATGAGATGACAATACTTGACGATACTTGACGTAGGTATTCGTGCCTCCGTTGGACATAACTGCGCTTTGACAACGGCTTGGAGGCAGAAGCTTGAGAAAACTGAGAGGAAAATCCAGCAAATACATAATGGGCGTGGCAAGTTGGTCTGACTATGTCCTAGGATTCTTATGAAGAGCGATGACAGGCCAATCCAATCTCCACGATGTTGTCTTGATCGCCGGTCTGTGCCAGCACAGATATCATTATGCCCTGTCTCGTGTTGCCCAAACCTGCTGATTTGACCATCAAATCACGTCTGCTCGCTCGTTTGTTGATGAATATGGCCCCAGCCGGCGGTGCATTCAATGCACCACACGCCCCAACAAGCCCAACACCGGCAAGAACCTGTCAGCTGACGAAACTGGTGGAATTGATAGTTGGCACTGGGTGCACCATGAACATGTGTACGGGGCACACCGGAACCAAATGCTCTATCGGAGCAGCTGGGTTGGCACGACAAAACAAAGCCATGCGCTAGCAACCTTCCCAAAATGAAGTTTTAGCACGTTTTAGCCAACTATTAACTATTCCCATGTGCCATCTTGTTTCGGGAGTCTCACACTCCTAAGTCCTTGGGCTCTGCCATGCGACTGATTTTTGCGGGCGGTCCCCACCTTTCGGCGTGGCACCTGCAAAGGCGGTTTCCATGCATTAGGTCACACACACATACATACATACATACATATATACATACCTACCTACCTACATACATAAAGGTGTTACATTACCTCACCTGTAAGTACATGCTTTACCACACGCACAAAAAATTAACATATATATATATGACATGAAACTGCATGACATTACATACAAGCCATTACATTACACTATGCTGAGGGCTAATGACAAGAAGTTGCTGGGCTAGTGGCATAAGAGTTGCGGGCACAGCACTTAGGCCATCTTGAAACAAGGTTTCCACATAACTCCAAAAATACTTTAAAGCGATCCCCATCGTGAAAGGCGATTTGACAGAAGGCAGGGCACATGACAGACTAGCCTGGCAAAGGCGGACATGCGCGGAGTGCCCAGTGCGATCTGGAGTTTGCTGTTGAGAAGCGGTAGTGATCTGGCACTTGCTGTTGTGGTGTGGTCCTGCCCACGGCGATCTGGCGCTTGCTGGGCGCTTGTGGAAGCGATCTGGTGCTTGCTGGTCTAGGAGTGCCTACAGCGATCTGGAGCTTGACATCCAGGAGCGCTGACTGGCATCTTGGCGCTTGCTGATGAGGTGCGGGAACGCCCACCACGATCTGGCGCTTGCTGTTGGTGCCCGGAGTGCCCATGGGACTGGAGCTTGCGGTTGAGGTCTGGGAGCGCCCAACTAGAATCTGTAGCTTGGTGTTGAGGCCTGCTCGGGGCTTGCTGAGGTCTGGCAGGTCTTTTAAAATGGCCTCAAGCCGGCTGCTGCATGCTGGTAGGTGATGGTGCAATCATCATCTAAGATCTCCTGCCAGTCTTCCTTGGCCTGGTCAAAGATGGTGCTGGCTCGTCCCCAAGCAGCTCCGACGCAGGTGAGGTTCACGGCCTGGAGCCTCTGGAGTGGATTGCTCCCGCTGCCAAACAAAGGTAATTAACAAAGGCAGTGCATCAGGCGCCACGGCGTTGGCAAGATCTTGGAAAAACCCTGGCGCTTTTTCGGGTTGGTCCATGCTTCCCAAACACCTGCCAACTGCGCGATCACCGTCACACGACTGGTGGTGTGGGTTGCCAAGGTGCAAAGACCGTGATGGCGGAGTCGGCGGAGTTGTTCCGACTGCATAGTGTGGATGCAGAGGCCGAATGAATATATGGTCGTGATGCTGGCCAAAACTCTCAGTTGGACCGTCCTATAACGCTCTGCAAGCTGCACGAGCCTCGACCAGTGGCAAATCACCTTGCCGCCCAGCAATCCCGACCGGGAGCGAAAGTCCTCCACGTGCCACCGGCCTATTTGGGCTAGCCCTCGAGTTCGCCATGCAGCTGAGCCCGAACACGCGGTGGGCAAAGAAACCCACCAGAGGCCAGCTCATTGCTGAACTTTTGCGGCACCATGCCCAAAATCCACCAGATCAGCATGAACACAAGATCCAGGAGACCAAACGCTACCTCAAATGCGAGGAATGCAGTGTCTCCATCCTCAAACGCTCCAAGGACGAGATCTAATTACAATGCGTTCATACAGGACACCTGATGACACCTGTATCGACCAACCCTACACTCAGGAGGCCTGAAGATCCAACACAGGTCCTGTGGCCTCCAAGCTCGTCTTAACCATGAGGGGCGCTTGATCCCCGCCACCGACCTGCTTGGCACAACCCAGCGAGACTCCCCAACGCCGCTGCCCAAGGATCCTGACACTCACACGCGGGCTCCAACACCCGTGGAATTTTCATTCATTCATACATACATACATACAAACATAACATAACATAACATAACATAACATAACATAACATAACATAACATAACATAACATA